GCCCAGTCTCTTTCTTATGGTGGAGTCATGAACACTGACCATAACTGAGGCAAGTGAGGCCTGCAGTTCTCTGGATGTTGTTGTGAGGTCTTTTGTGAACTCTTGGATGAGTCGTCACTGCGCTCTTGGGGTAATTTTGGTCGGCCGGCCACTCCTGGGAAGGTTCACCACTGTTCCATGTTTTTGCCATTTGTGGATAATGGCTCTCACTGTGGTTTGCTGGAGTCCCAATGCTTTAGAAATGGCTTTATAACCTTTTCCAGACTGATAGATCTCAATTACTTTGTTTCTCATTTGTTCCTGAATTTCTCTGGATCGCAGCATCATGTCTAGCTTTTGAGGATCTTTTGGTCTACTTCACTTTGTCAGGCAGGTCCTATTTAAGTGATTTCTTGATTGAGAACAGGTGTGGCAGTAATCAGGCCTGGGTGTGGCTAGGGAAATTGAACTCAGCTTTCCAAAGATGTGATAAACCACAGTTAATTTATGGGGGGTAATCACTTTTTCACACAGGGCCCTGTAGGTTTGGATTTCTTTTTCCCTTAATAATAAAGATCTTCATTTATAAACTGCATTTTGTGTTTACTTGTGTTATCTTTGTCTAATATTTAAATGTGTTTGGTGATCTTAAACAATTAAGTGTGACAAACATGCAAAAGAATAAGAAATCAGGAAGGGGCAAACACTTTTTCACACCACCGTATATATATATATATATATATATATATATATATATATAAACACACGTGTATACATACATACATACATACATATATTCTATTATATATTCTATTCTCACAACAGCACTGCTGTGTCTGATCCACTCGTACCAGCACAACACACATATGCATGCATATGCATTTATATATTTATACATTTGTATAAGTGCTGAGAATGATCCACCACCCAAATAGTACCTGCTCTGTGAGGGTCTACGGGGGTCCTGACCACTGAAGAACAGGGTCAATATACATATATATATATATATATATATATATATATATATATATATATATATATATATACATGCACATACACACATATGCATGCATATGCATTTATATATGTATATATATGTGGGGGGAAATTATGTCATTCCTAAACTAAAAGGAGATCCAGGATCCTTGCTATTCTCTTTACATCACAAACTGTTTAAACTGCTTGACAAATTATTGCTTCTGGCTAAGAAATCTATTCTTGACAATTGGCTGACACAGACACCCTTTTCTGTTAGTGGTATAAAGAAATATTTAGCATATTTAGTCATGAACTACTCTTTGCAGTGCTCAGCGGCAAAGACCTGAACATTTGGAGACGATTCAGAGCATCTGCCTCATAGATGCTGTATTAAAAGGTCAGTACAGGTGGTGTGAAGGACAGCACCCAGTGAAGTGAGGTGTAATATAGGAGTTTATCAGAGCCCAGTTTTACTAAGTTGTGAAGAATGTGGAGTGGCTCTTCTGTTGGTTGGGTTTCAGGGTAAAGGTGATATTGGCACCCCTGGTAAACATGAGCAAACAGGCTGTAAAAATATTCTTGAAGTATTATGATTAAAAGAAAATATCTAAATCTTATTATGAAATCAATATTTTTTCAAATCTCTGTACCACATTTGGTGGCAACTCTAGAAATTAGTTGAGCTGCATAAATCAGGAAATGGCTATGGCAATAATTAAGACGTTTAAAGCAACTGGAGATGTTAAGAATCTGCTGGGAAGAGGACGTATGTCTGTACTGACCCTACATACAGTGAGGAGAATAGTGCAAGTGGACAAAGAATCTCCAAGGATCACTGTTGAGGGAACTGCAGACATTAGTAAGGTCTTGGGATCAGAATGTCTCAAACTACAATAAGACTTCACCTACATTACCACAAGTTGTTTGGGAGGGTTGCCAGATGAAAGCCTCTGCTGTCAAGGACCAACAAACTCAAGTGCCTACAGTTTACCAGAAGTTACTGGAAGTTCTATTGACCAAAGCCATGTAGGAAAGTACCTCATCCCCACTGTGAAGTATGGTGGAGGATCTGTGATGTTTTTCTTCTAAAGGCCCTGGACAACTTGTTTGAATACATGGCATCATGAACTCCATCATATACCAGCAGATATTCAATCAACTGCTTCAGCCAGGAAGCTAAAACTGGGCCATAGTCTGGATCTTCCAGCAGGACAATGATCCAAAGCATGCCTCAAAATCAACACAGAAATGGTTAACTGACCACACAATCAAGGTTCTGCCGTGGGCACCCCAGTCCCCTGGCCTAAACCTACAAACCTGTAGGATGAGCTGAAGAGGAGAGTCCACAGTGTGGAGCTCAGAATCTGAAGGATCTGGAGAGGTTCTGTATGGAGGAATGATTTCAGATCCTTTACAATAAGTTCTCCAGTCTCATTAAGCATTATGGAGAAGACTCAGCCTGTTTTGCTGAAGTTTATCACTGGGTGCCAATATTTATGGAGGAAACTATACATATGTTTTCATGGTAACATGTGCTCATTGCTCATGGATACATCTTCTAATTTCTTCAAAACCCATAAAATGTTAATACTACTAATAATAGTTAATTACTAACCACCTAACTAACTAAATAAATAACTAAATAAAACAGAAACACTTGCTTCCCATTACTGAGAAATTCTTTAAGTCATTTTTCAGCAAGATAAAAGTCTACCAAGAGACGGCTGGAGAAGTCCATTAATCTGAGGTTCTGAAAAGGTCAAAAGATTTAAACCCCACTAAGAACATCTGGTCTCACATTAACCACAAATTACCCAGACAGAAGTTTTCCACTGCTGACCGACTGTGGGAGGACTTTAAAGCTGAATGGAAGAGAGAGTGTCCATGTGTTAAGGACTTTTTTTCAAGTCTTTAACACAAAAGACTCAATTATCTAAATTATCTGAAAAAAAGAAAAGCTATTCTGTATTAACTTATGTTGCATGTTGCTTCAGTTCTTAATTGCTCAATATTTTTTTGCTGTCATTTATTGATAAATTGAAATTAAATTAAATTAAAAAAAGAATATTTACTTTTTGGGCTTGGTCAATTTTGCCATAAAGTGTACAGAGCAAAAATAATATATAAAAATAATAATACTTATTAATTATTCATTAAAATAAACAAGACAATAACACAGATAAACACAAAAAAGAGAGGTTGAATTTTGATTAGAAGCTATAGAGGTACATTTTCAAATGTTTAATAAACATGTGCACTGAGCTTGAAAGTATAATAAAAGGTGGAATTTGGAGCATGATAACAGAAAGAGGCCTCTCCATGTTTCTGGTATGTCAGAGTAGAAATTAAATGGCAGTACTGGCAGAACTACGATCACGTACTGGAACATAAAAAGAGAGATATTCTGTGAGGCATGCTTGAAAGTGCTTTAAGGCCATTTAAAGCCTTAAAAACTAGTAGCAGAATTTTAAAATCTATAAATCTATTATGAACGATAAGGCAGCCAGAGCAGTTCTTTCAAAATGAGAGTGATATGTGCTCTTTTTTTTGTTTTTGTCAGGATGTGTGCATGGTTTGATATGCAATTCTCTGTTGCAGAGATCTTCTGGAGACTTCTAGTGGCCAAATCAGAGTTGTTTACAGTGGTAGTGATAGGAACCAGACATCTGAAGAGTTTAACAACACTAAAAGCTCCCTCACAAAAAGTCATTACCAGAAACAGTTGTGAATATGTTGTCTTGTAACACAATAGTTTTGAATTATGATTTTGGCCTGAAATGTATTTTTTAAAACACTTTTATGGTTAAGAGGTACATGCAGGGCATTCCCCAGTCTCCAAAGAAAACTTACTTTCTTTGGTTTTACTGCTGTTTTATCATCATCAGCATTACATAGAAAACATTACACTGTGTTTAGGTTCTCACATTATATTGGACAGTAAATAAAGTGGCTATATTAACATTGTAGACATCACCTCTGGTTCCTACCACCACCACTGTTAAGACAGCTGAGTTGGAAATTTTCTCTACAGTGAACCATTTCACATCAAACCACTCTGAATGACCGTTTACATCCCATCCACTGAATTATTAGTTCTCTAGTTCTCTAGTTCAGTAGTACACTGAGCTAGTTAACATATGGCTATCAGCTTGGTAGAAGTAGAAGATTTAGTAGAAATTTAAAATAATAGGACTGAGTGTTTAACATTTACATGTATTTCTGCTCCGTATGGGTATTATTTCCTGCTCGGTTATATTCCTCCAGATTTTTGGTGTTTGGGGGTTTTAATTATTTTAAATACGGTGGCAGTGTATGGGCTGAGGGACTTTTATTATATTTATTTAATAATTACAAGCTCAGGGGCTATTTGTTCAATTAATTTTCATCTGCAATGGACTGTCTCTACTCTTTGAACCGGATCAGGCCTTGTGGTCTAAAGCCCCTCGAGGCCCCTGGCAGAAAGAGCCCCCTGGGCACTGGCCTCACTGGGCTGGTCAGTAATCCATCCCTACAGGTTATTCCCTAAAAGACAAATGAAAAATGTAATCCACTGTAGCTCTTCTACATTTAAAATGATGGCACTATTTAATCCTCTCTTAGATGCAGTATGTGATGTTTCTGACTTTGGTTTATTGTTATTTACAACAGACAGCAAACAAAAAAAACAGACAAACAAACAAATACATAAAAACCCCGTGCTCTGTCATTTATCATGTAGGCTCTGAGTCGTGACTGAGGCGCATGCTCGATGGACCCATGATTTGTGTGAAGCTGCCACCTAGTGTAAAGAACAACAAAAAACAAAGTGATAAACAGCAGTGAGCAATGGATACTTTATAATTCTGTTGTTCTAAACGTTCTACAAATCAGATATTTCATCCTGGGGAAATGTGCTTTATTCACAGAAGTGCTGTGAAGCGGAGTCATGTTTATTTCCAACCGTTTTAATCGATGGACTCCCTCTCCTCAGTTTAGTTGTTGGACCGAAGTGCTCTGTGTGTGGTGGCGCGCCTCCGCGGTTGCCCGGCAACGGAGGACGCATTTCCTAGGAGTTCAGCAACAGTGCGAAAAAGGAGCCGAGAGTTTATTATTTTACCCACTATGAGGTTTTTTACAGTGTTAGCGAGCATTTAAAAGTCCTGTTTAAGTTTTGGAAGAGCTCTACAAATGGAGGTAGGAGAAACATGACTGTGGAACTGAGAAGTTACGCTCTCTGTGCTGAGTTTTTCTATTTAAATGTAGCCAACCTAGCTAACTAACTTAACGCTAGCTAACTAGCTAACGTTAGTTGACCTGGTTTACGCGGACATACAATGATATTTCAAGGCAGTGGTAATTAAGCAGGTATGTGCCTATGTAAAATGTAATATCGCGATAGTTACTTAAAAGGGCATTCAACCAATCAGTCCTTGGGATGTAGAGAGTCCTTCGCTTCTTTGTAGAGAAGCTTACTGACTTAGCTACAGTCTGATTTCCTCATAGTGGTGCACAAATATAGCCTTTTTATTGGCTACCCAAACCCACCAGTGAACATACACGTCTTTTGTTTTTATATGCAATGTTGGTGATGGTGAAATAGTAATAAATATGAAAAGTAAGTTTTTTTTGAAGGGGTTATTTTGCCTTACAACACCCTGCATGTACCCCCTGCACCATGAATAGATTACAACAGATTACAATAAAGGGATTCAAATATATTTAAAACAAAACCTTTATAAAACTATTATGAAACAGTGTTCAGGATCAGGCAGCATATTCATAACCATTTCATGTTATAGCTTTCTGTAAGGGAACTTTTAGAGGATGTCTGGTTTCTATCACCACCATCTCATAAAGCACAGGATCATAATGTGACAGCCTAATGGGACCTTGTGAAAACAGAGCTACTCTGTGTACCTTAAAATCTCTGGTGAAACTGCAACTTATATGACTAATATGTAATGATGATTTACCTTATGGCTGAATTTCTGCACATGGCCAAAAGTATGTGGACACAGTCCAAAACATCGGGCCTTAATATGGAGTCAGCCCCAATTTGCAACTACAACAGCCTCCACTCTTTTGGGATGGCTTTCCACAAGATTTTAACCTTGAAAAACTGCATCTATTCTGAAGCCCAAGGACATAAAATTGAATGAAAAATAGTGGACTAAGCTTGCGTTACTGACAGCTACCTTAAGTGAGTGGGATCACTACAGCTGCAATCAGCTGTAGTGATCCCACTCACATTTTTCTCCATTTGAGAGAAAAAGTGTAGGAACCATTTAGAAATATCTGGATTTCTGCATGGATTGTTCCTAAATGAGTTGATCTAGCCCTCATCTAAGTCATGATAATGAATAAAGACAGTCTTAGAACAAACAGCAGACACAACATTTTACAACATTATTGGACAAATGGTTTGGGCGATCCAGTCAGGCTTTTGTTTGTAGGCTCAATATGTTATTATTAGACTAGATGAAGAATGTCGTACTCTGTTTGGTGCTGTTGGTATGAATCTCAAAAGGTTTTACTTAATTTTCACTTCATTTTCCCTGATTTAATTGAGTTGATCTTTGAAATCGAAATGGATTGAATGTAATTTGCTCCCCTTGCTTCATTTCAAAATAAGCAAACCAACCTAAAATGAATAATGGTGTCGTAATCACTAGGATTAATCATGGCTGTGTTTTCAAAGCAAAGCAAAAATGTAGCTTCTGAACTTGTCTCGTTTTCCCTGTTGAAGGAGAAGGCCCAGAATCCGGAGGAGGAGAGCTCCTTTGAAGCTCTGGAGAAGGAGTTCCAGGAGGTGTTGAATGAGTTGGTGGGAGACAAGAGCCTGGAGAAGTTCCGCGTGGAGTATGAGAAGCTCACCAAGGCACTGAAGAAGTCCCACGAGAGCGAGAAGAGGCTGATGACGAAATGCCGGGAGCTGAACGCAGAGATCGTATCCAACTCGGTCAAAGTGGCCACGGCAATGAAGTTGTCTCAGGAGGACCAGACGACCATTACGTCACTAAAGAAGGTCCGGTATGAGGGAAAGAACATTATGGGGTTAGAAAGGAAAAGACTGTTCATGAAACGGCATTGTTTATGTGATTCTTATATCAGCTTAGGGTGATAGTTCATCACATTTGCACAGTTTTAGTTTTGCTCAAATGTAGTCGATCAGCCAAGACGTGGGTGTGTCTTTTATTTGGCATTGAAGCTACGAGGTTATTGTGGACTATAAGTAACTTATACTGCACCACTTAGCATTGTGCATACTGCATGCCCAAATCAGCCTAGACTTGCATTAAATTATTAAGTAATTACAAATAGACTTGCTTAAGACTAGGGGTGGGAATCTCTAGGCACCTCACGATTCGATTCGATTACGATTCAGAGGGCTGCGATGTGATTATAAAACGATTATCGATGCATCTCGATGCATCTTTTTTTTCTATATAGCATTTATATTTTCTCACTGTGTGAGCTCAAGTTTCGAGTTCAAGTTTCAAGTTTATTCGTCATTTGCACAACATGTCAGGACATTTATGCATTGAAATACTTGTGGTGAGGCTCAGCTAATCACTCTACAGAAAGTAAATAAGTAAAAATAAAAATACAAGAAAAACCAACTGAAATATATTAAATATACACAAAATATACACAGAATATAGAGACAATATACATTTTAAAGTGACTGAGTGACTCAGTGTTGTTATTTAAAGTGACTTGGTACTTTTAAAGCAAAGTATTTGTAATGATCCATAATGAATTTACTTCCAATATCGTTTTTAATAAATCAAATGGAAGTGATGTGGCAAGTAAACTAGAAGACTCTCATTCAGGGCTCTTGTTTGGAGCACGAGAAGCTGCTGCTACTCATCTGCGATAAAATGCGCAGTTACGGTGAAATAAGATCCAGTGTCAGTGGATGTCCACGCAGCACGTTACAGCTATTCTACCCGTTTTCTGTAGTGATTTTATAACTTAGGTTTTGGTCTCGTTGTAGAGAGTTGGGGGATCGCTGTGTCAGTAAAGTATCTTTGAGACAGGACGTGTGCAACATAGCGCGAAAGCCCTGTTTCGCAACGACTAAGAACCGGCGTGCAGACTGCAGGTCACAAAGCAGAGATACGTTATTCGCATTTATGAGCGGCACAGTTGGTTTCCTGGTCCGTTAAATCTGCAACGAGACTGTCACACACTAAAAAGTGGCGAAGCTGAAGTCAGCTTCTCTTTCGAATTCTCCCGTTCCACCTTAAATGGTGCCGCATTTACATTCGGCGCCTCAGTTAGAATTTAAGGTGGAACGGGTAAATTCGTACAAGAAGCTGGAGAATAAGAAGCGACTTCAGCCTCGTAAAACAGTCGAACGTTGAGGGACATTTAACTGATCTATTTCTGAGGAAAAGTTTTCTGGCGGAGATGGGAGGAAAGCGGCTATAGCTGAGCTAAAGCTTAAAGCAGAGCGAAGTAAATCTGCGTTTTCGTTTATATTGTTTAGTCTATACCAGGACATTAACACATACTGACACATACTGGACATTAAATGTTGTGGCTCCCAAGGTGGTTTGATTTTTGTTGAAAGGACAAAATGTTAACATTTGTGTTGTGACTCCTGATCTAACCTGGCTTTTAACGCAGAGGGAGCCGGTCGGATTTCTCGCTCATCCAGCTGTGTTTTTGTTATGTGCCGCCACAGACTGTCCGGGCGCTGCACTTCTGCACTTCCAAGTTCCGCCTTTTGCGTTCCGTCAACATTACATTATAAATTAAATATTTAGAAAATCGATTTTTGACATTTGTGAATCGATTCAGAATCGTTCACGTCCGCATCGCGATGCATCTAAGAATCGATTTTTTCCCGCACCCCTACTTAAGACACTGACATTTCTGACTCTGTATTACATACTGTTTCTTTTAAAAATATATCTTTTATAGCTGGAAACAGTAGTAGCAGATATGTCTTTCAGCCATATTTGTGTTTATTATTTATATTATTGTGATTCTTCTATAGTTACATACATAGCATTACATAGCATTGCTCATCAGTTCTCACCTGCAATTTTCCCTGCTCTAACACACCTTTTAAACCTGGCAATTAAATGATGAGTTAAATCAGGTGTATTTGAGCACTAAATCACTAAATGGTGCTTGACTCTGGCCCCCCAGGACATGAATTGATGATAGCTGTTTAACATAAGTGTGTGATCATTTAGGCACAGAGCAAAAAATGTTCTTGGCAAGTGAAATCATGTCTAATATTTCTCATTTTGACATTGTTGTAAGAATTTTATAAGATTTTTCAACTTATTTCCTGATGTTGTTTATGTATATTTAAATTTAAGGACATATGTTTGCTTGTTTCAAGAAATACTGCTTAAAACAAGACAACATAAAACTACATAAAGTCACTTAAAAGGGTTAAAAGAGTAAAACTAGACTAAATTTCAGACTCAATAATGCACCTCTTTATGGCTCAGCAGTGCTTTGGACCAAGTGCGCCCTTGTTAAGACAGATTTCTTACATGTCTCAGATAATGTAGTGTGCTATAACTTCTGCCTGCTTTGATTAGGAAATCGACAAGGCTTGGAAAATGGTTGACACGGCTCACGAGAAGGAGCTGAAGGCAAAAGAAAGGATTCAGACTCTGAATCAGGAAATAGCCAATCTCACCAAGCTTGTGGAGCAAGGCGCTGGTTTATCCACAGTCCAGCAGCACAGGTGAGTGGGTGCTGGTGTCCCCGAACGTTTGTCAGGGGGCAAACACATTCACATCATTCCTGGCATCATTTTCTCTCCTTTCTCTGACAGCCTGAAAACATAACTGAGTAATCCTCGATATGCCTCAATTGAATGCTCCTACATTTCTAAACACCACCGAACTGGAATCAACCACATCATTTGGGAAAAGAGTTGTTTTCTTTTTTCTAAAAGATAAAATAAGCACTGAGGTGTGACGAGGTAGAAATTATTGCTGTCAGTCAAACTGCTTTCTGGTGATCAGAGTGAGCATCAACAATCAGACTCGCTCCACTCAGTTCCAGTGGGAGATTCATATGATTATGTCTTTCTGTTGGAGTGATAGAGCTTTGAGGGGTGGAAAAAACAAAAAAAGATAAATTCTTGAATTCTGTCAAACAGTTGAGACTGAGGGATGCAATGTTGCGCTCGGGCCTGTCACAGTTACTACATAATCGCTGATGATCGCAATTATTTTTGCTGACTCGTGTTAGATTTCACAATCATATTATGCTGCAACTAACAAAATGTGAACTGGGTATGTTGGGTTGAGGTAAATAAATGGAAATAAAATGAAGCAATAAATGCAATAATTGAGACAGCAGGGGGCTTAGAACAAAAATGGTTGTAACTTCTAACTTGGTGCTCTAATATATGTACACGGCAGTGCTGAGTAATGTTTGTTTATTTGTTAGCTATGTAGCTAATCCAGTAACACTAATTGGAGTGGCCCTTTGTAGATGATTAATAAACACTTAACAGATTATCAGTAACACATCAACAACATAGCTGCAACAAGTAGCAGCAGTGAAGCATCTGAATACACTGAAGTAAATATCTTGTAGATGTTCTGTTCATATGTTAATTACATTAAGTAGATTTATAGTATTGTTAATATGTTATTTCTATAACGCAAAACCTAACCTTACCCAGCCTTACACAAAACCTAACCCTAACCTTGGCCCTAATCCTAACCTCAACCCAAAACCTAACCCTAACCTTGGCCCTAATCCTAACCCTAACCTTAACCTCAACCCAAAACCTAATCCTAACCCTCATATGTTTTTGACATGTTACTGAAAGTCCGTTGAGTGTTTGTTTCATTTAAAAAGGACCACTCAGAATAAAGTGTCACTGCTAATTCTAATGTTTTTACCATGTGTGTAGGCAGAATGAGTGTTTTATTTTTATTTTTCACATTTTCACCCTTGTAAAGGACATATTACATATTACTCTGTGTAACTGTAGACGTTTGTGTTGCTGTAACAGTATAACCAGCGTTAGCTGCTAAGTAAACATAGCTTGCAAGAAAAGTGGTTAATCGGCCAATTTGACCATTTTAGGTTTGTATAATGACAAAAAAAGACAAATCATTAATTCAAGTTTAGTCAATTAGTTGTCAGCTAAAATCTCATGACTGTGACAGGCCTAACTGCACTACACATTATTACATAACACAACAAATATCTTAACTGGTAGTGTTCGGCCCCTTTCAGTACTTAAGGCCGGCTTTACTCTGTGAAAATTTCACACAGCTAATTGCATGATGTGAGTTGCCTGCAATTTCTGTGCAACTTGTAATCATTAAAAAAAGATTGCGTGCAACACCTTTAGTTACGCTAGCTCTATACTAGCTTGTGTTTTCTGATCCACCGTATCACTCTCGCTTATTTGTGAAGCATAATATACAATCTTCGTATATTTTTTCCAGCTGTCATTGCTGTTCTTTTATCGGTCTTTGGTCTATCTGTCTATGGTTCTTTGCCATATATTTGAGTTTTGTTATCTGTTATGTGTATGTTAAGCCTTGTATGTTAATTAATATGACTGTTTAAGTAGCCATTAAGGTGGCACTTTGTGCCTTTTGTTTTGTTTTTTGTTTGCGTCACACATAATACAGGCAAATAAAGAGCAGCAGAAATAACATGCATACTGGGGCTAATAGTGAGAAGAGAAAAGGGCAAAAAACATTTTAGCTAACAGCTTCATTATACACATTTGATGCACATTTCTTATAAGAACAACACAAATCAATCATATAATGATGAAATTCAGCTTAGAAGTAGATAAAGACTGGTTGCTCATCACTCCATTTACATTTATGGATAAAAACCTGGACATAAGAATAACACTAAATATATTAACACTAAGGTCACTAGAATAATAAAAACACTTTGTCTTTATCTGCACTGAAATGCAGATAGATTGGAATAAAAGGTAGAAAGCCAATTTTCACTCTCAGACCAAAAGGTTCTTACATACTCACAGGAAAAAAAATGTTCAATAGTTTCACACTGTGAATGGCAAAAGCTTCAAGGAGTATTTTCAAATCTAAATCAACCACAAAGAAAATCATTAACAGGGCAATTTTAACCTTAAAATTAATTCTTTTACTTGGTTTGAGGTATTCTTTAGTAACCTTGATCCACATTAGAAGTTGTTCACTGTTATAACAAAAATGCTGTTGTGCTTAATAACTCATTCTGTCCTGGAATCACTACGAGTTCATTGAGGAGCACATCTCAGTCTCCCTTCTGTAATCATTTTCATCCTTTGGATCCCAAATAAATCTCAGCTCTATGCAAAATTAGGGGACATCAAGAGAGGAGAAAATGAATCTATCTACACAGATCAGGGTAGAAGAATAAACAGTGGCACAAGCAGCAATTTAAAGCCATTTAGTTGACTTGTTAACCCCTTAAAATCCAGGCTTATTATATGCTAAGGCTTATTATTCAGTAACTACAGGGACTTCAGTGCAAACTGGATGAGCTATTCTTAGGTTATAGAAGTATGTAATAAATATTTTAAGAGGTTAATGCAGCTGGTTACAAAAACGTTAGCTTTGGGAAACTCATGTTTGTTGTCACGACTCAAGAAACTGACAAAATGAAAAGCTACCGACCTTGATTTCATCAGGGAGTCGCCTTTTCAACCACCCAGTAAAGCATCTTCTGTTTTATTGTTTCTATTATTTATCTTGTCCATTGATCTGGAGATTTTAAGTATCGTCATTGTTTTAGTGTATGTTGGTTGGCGTGATCATGTGATGTGTTGTAGCCATTTTGATTGGTTCTTTCATGAAACTGCAGAGCTTGCATTGCGCAATTTAGTTTCATATATATTTCAAGCAACTAAAGTTGCATGAATGTTTCACATGTCAAATTCAGGGCACATTCAAAAACATTTAACATTTCATACTGTTGGTGTCTTGCACTATAAACTAAAACAGAGATCTAGATGCAATTTCACCCTAAACACTGTCCGCTGCCAAAGGGATCACTTCACAAAGTAATATTCCATAGTAACAAATCATAAGGAAGTAGCTTAATGTGATAACATGATAATTTTAGTCACTGATGTCACTGATACCATAAAAAAAGACCATACCATGGTAAAATCCATACTGTCTCATTCCTAGCGCCACTTTTGAAATACAGTCATCTTTATGTAGCGTCTTGTCTGTAACTTTTTAAGGTGTCAAGGCCACAGGTTTGTCAGCAGTGTTCCTTGCAGAAAAGACTTTCCACTAAGTCTTCTAAAAGGACTTCTGTTTTTCAGCGTGGGCGATCTATTGAAAATCAAAGAACAGTTGACGGCAGAGAGAGACGAGCTGCTCTCTGAGGTGGTGACTCTTCGGGAAAACCTTACGAAAGCCACGGCCAGTCAGCAGGAGACAGAGGCGGCTAAGGAGAAGGCCCAGGAAACCATCTCGCAGGTAAAAATACCTAGCTTTATGCCAGATGACCTCAGTGACTGTATTTACATTGCAAAATACCAAGGCAAGCTCAGGGCACTGTCTCTATTAAATGATTCACTTACAGCTTCGGTAATGTTTACTTTTACTTATGTTCACAGTAACACTGCCGCTTTTGACTAACGCCAGTGAAAAGCTGCCATGCTGTCGCTGCAGTTGTGATTTAGCGTTTAATTCTGCTGAGACGCCTTGTTTACTATTGCAAAATAGTCAAAGTTAGCTTTTAACTTTGTTTCGCCCTGTAGCTTATTAGATTTCCAGCGGAATTTTCTCATGCTTTATGGCTTTATGAAAACTTATTTTGCAGATAAAGCATTTGACAGTATTTGTATTTCGTCTGTGGCATCCGCTGCAGTCAGCGAATCGATAGGAGAAATTTGTGTGCGTTCCAGTAATTGTTTAACCCCAAAACATTAGTTGAACATAAAACAGACTCCATTTGCCACATATCATCTTTCCCGGTTAGACTGAGACTGTAAAGCTTGCAAATGAAACGCCTGGCCTTGCCTTTATGGATAGATATGGCTCCCTTGTTGGTACCTAGCCTGGAAAAAAAGCAACAGTTTCTGCTTTGTTTACCAAGCTGAACACTGAAGCAGAATTGATTGGATGCCTGGTCAGGCATTTTGGGATAGCTGCATAAAATTTCAGACAAGACAGAGATGGTATGCAGAAAACCAAAAGCAAGGAAACCAAAATGTATTTAAATTTCAATGATGCGCTGCGGAGTCCAGCTTCTCGTAGCTCCATATTTTACTTAAATACATGACAGCAAGTGTATCCATGTGGTCACATATTGCTGCAATTCCAGCACCTTAATCAGAGACATTTTGCTAATTTGTCCAGTCAAGCACTGTTTTGTCTGGCTGTATTTCACTTCTACTCAGAAATGCCATCCACATTTCACTCACAAACCCCTCCTAAAAGCAGCTGACTATTTCAGACTTTAAAGGAATTGAGTAAGTTATTCATTTATCTTTGAGGGGATTACATATAAGAGAATCCACTTGCATAAGGAAGGAGAATGCCAAAGGAAAATAAGTGAAAAAACAGGAAAAAAAAGATGTTAAAAGGTGTTTTTGTCCACCGTTCCACTGTGAAAAAATGCTATGAGTCTGAAAGGATGCGTAGCTGTCAGGAAGCTGATACTGAGAAAAGGGAATAGACTAAAAAAAAAAAAACCTCATTTGCACATCAAACAAATAAGCTGCTGGTGTTCTCATAATAATGGACTGACCACCCTAGAGTCCAGACCACAACATCACTGAATGTGTTTAAGATTATTTGGATGGTGAGGAGCAGAAAATACAACCAACTTCTAAGACTGAATTTTGGAGGTTTGGAAAAAAATATCCCTGCAGATTTCTTTGAAAAACTGAAAGGGAAGTCTCCTGGAAAGAAATGGAAGTAAATAATGGATGTAATAAAAGCAAAGGGTGAATACACTAAATACTAAATTCTGGATACTATTTTTGTAATAACTTTGTTCTCAGCGTTCCACAGTGTTCTTAGTCATTATTGAAGCATCTACAGTTCTGTTCTACAGTTCTGTTCGTCGTTTGACCATAAGCAGGCCTGTAAACATAACTTTAATGGCATCATAACTGCTCCTTTAAAGCTCTTCCCTCTCTTGCATCCACAGCTGCAGCAGGAGATCCAGGTGCGTCAGAACGAGTGCTCTCGAGAGATGCGGAGGAAGGAGAAGTTGGAGAAAGAAGTGAAGCAGCTGCACTCTGACCTGGAGGCCCGACAGACTGAGATCAAAACGCTGACAACGCAGACCCACCGCACTAAAGACGAGCAGCAGAGGCTGGAGCAGCAGCTCCGCGAGCAGAAGGTGAGGCTGACTTGAGGTTAGTAGGTTGTGTTGCATAGTGGTTTGATTAACCTTATGTTACCTAAAGTCTTGCTGGCAGTATTTTTTTTGACGTTCGGCCACCAGACGAGTTACAACACATATATATCCAGGTGGATGATATATCAGCTTTAGAGCTTTCTGTGCTCTACTGTTTTTTTCTATCGCTATGTAAAAGAAGCACTGTGCTGTCTTTACTGTTGGATGCACTGTGATAGTTTCTGAGTGAGAGCATTTTATAGTTACTCAGAAAAACCCAATCAGTAAAAAGCTGAATGAGCTTATGCACTGCAAAATCACAGAGCATTGAGCAATAGAGAAAGCCTTGTGCATCTTGTGTACAGTGATAGAAAACATGGTATCACACAGAAAGCTCAGATTCTACATGCTCATATGTTTCACTGTGGCCAACATAGACATGCACACATGATATAAACCAATGTCCATAAGGCTAAAGTCTAGAGTTATTATGGTCATTTTGGTTAACATTTTATCGATATTACACAATTTTTTAAAAAGAATAAGCCTCGTGAGGCCATGCATTACAGACATTGTATCACAGGTAAGGGTGTTATTGGACACGACCAAAGCAGAATATAAAAATATGATATGCAGTTTTGCAATAAATATTAATAATAATTAAGATATACAATTATTTTGGCAATAGATATAGTTTCTTTATAACCAATAGGTGTAGTTCCTCTATAGTATGTTACTGTTGCCAAGGAACCATGGCTTACTAAGAGAGAACAAGAATGTTCAGTCGTCCATCTATATATATTAGGGGTGGGAATCTCTAGGCACCTCACGATTCGATTACGATTCAGAGGGCTGCGATGCGATTATGAAACGATTATCGATGCATCTCGATGCATCTTTTTTTTCTATATAGCATTTATATTTTCTCACTGTGTGAGCTCAAGTTTCGAGTTCAAGTTTCAAGTTTATTTGTCATTTGCACAACATGTCAGGACATTTATGCACTGAAATGCTTGTGGTGAGGCTCAGCTAATCACTCTACAGAAAGTAAATAAGTAAAAATAAAAATACAAGAAAAACCAACTGAAATATATTAAATATACACAAAATATACACAGAATATACAGACAATATACATTTCAAAGTGACTAAGTGACTCAGTGTTGTTATTTAAAGTGACTTGGTACTTTTAAAGTATTTGTAATGATCCATAATGAATTTACTTCCAATATCGTTTTTAATAAATCAAATGGAAGTGATGTGGCAAGTGAACTAGAAGACTCTCATTCAGGGCTCTTGTTTGGAGCACGAGAAGCTGCTGCTACTCATCTGCGATAAAATGCGCAGTTACGGTGAAATAAGATCCAGTGGTGATGGACGTCCACGCAGCACATTTTACAGCTGTTCTACCCGTTTTCTGTAGTGATTTTATAACTTCGGTTTTGGTCTCGTTGCAGAGACGTGGGGGGGGGAGGGGGTCGCTGTGTCAGTAAAGTATCTTTGAGACGGGACGTGTGCAACATAGCGCGAAAGCCCTGTTTTGCAACGACTAAGAACCGGCGTGCAGACTGCAGGTCACAAAGCAGCGATGCTTTATTTGCATTTATAAGCAGCTCAGTTGGTTTCCTGGTCCATTAAATCTGCAACGAGAGACTGTCACACACTAAACAGTTGCGAAGCTGAAGTCAGCTTCTCTTTCGATTTCTCCCGTTCCACCTTAAATGGTGCCGCATTTACATTCGGCGCCTCAGTTAGAATTTAAGGTGGAACGGGTAAATTCGAACAAGAAGCTGGAGATTAAGAAGCAGCTTCAGCCTCGTAAAACAGTCGAATCAGTTTTCTGGCGGAGATGGGAGGAAAGCGGCTATAGCTGAGCTAAAGCTTAAAGCAGAGCGAAGTAAATCTGCGTTTTCGTTTATATTGTTTAGCCTATACCAGGACATTAACACATACTGACACATACTGGACATTAAATGTTGTGGCTCCCAAGGTGGTTTGATTTTTGTTGAAAGGACAAAATGGCTCTTTATAACATTTGGATTGTGACTCCTGACGTCACGTGGCTTTAATGCAGAGGCTGCCTGTCAGATTTCTCGCTCTTCCAGCTGTGTTTTTGTGCCGCCACAGACTGTCCGGGCGCTGCACTTCCGCACTTCCGCCTTTTGCGTTCCATCAACATTACGTTATAAATTAAATATTTAGAAAATCGATTTTTGACATTTGTGAATCGATTCAGAATCGTTCACATCCGCATCGCGATGCATCTAAGAATCGATTTTTTCCCGCACCCCTAATATATATATATATATATATATATTATATATATATTATATATATATATATATATATATATATGCTGTACATACAATCATTTTATTCACTGAATAAACATTATATAGGGGTGTTCAGTGCAAAAACCTTTGCTCTGTAAGTAGTTTTTACTCACTAAATTACCTCTGCAACAACAATGCTAACTCTATGCAATTTCCAGTCTTATTTAGCACCACCCTCATGGTGTTGTGCACAACATGAGAATTAAAATACTGGCTCTTGCATGCAAGCACTGCATAACATATAAAACAAATAGCCATTTGGGATACAGCCATGTGTGCACAGCTGTGCACTATTTAGGTGTAGAAACCAGAATTTCATAACTTAAATTGCTCACTATGTATTGGAAGGAGGGAGCTGTTTGAGATTCAGCCTGCATTTGATGCTGTTTAAGGCAGATCTGACTAAAAGACAACTGGAGAGTGTAAAACATTCAAGTGACATATTCTTTACCATTTTATGTTCCAGCTTTATAGTGAATCATATAGTAAAAACTTTTAAAGCCTGTAATATAAATGGAGGAATTGTTTAGACTGTTAGTCATCAGTATGCTTGGTGGTCCATGTGAGCAGCATTACAGTCAAAGACTATTCCGTTAAAAGTGCAAGGATTTTTCAGGACTTGGTTCAGTAGTACAGTATTCAGTTGCTATGAAGTGGTTGTAAATAAGTGTAAATAAAAATAGATTGCAATGATTTGCAAATCTTACAGACCCATATTTTATTCACAATAGAACATACAACACATAATAGATGTTGAAAGTGAGACATTTTACCATTTCATGAAAAACATTAACTAATTTAGAAATTGATGGCATATTTAGAAATTGCTGATATATATATATATATATATATATATATATATATTTACCGAGTTACATTTATATTTAATTTACATTCTGTAAATCATTGTACATGTAAGTTCAGTTCTGTATTTTTTGACTGTTTTCTATTTTTTAACATAAACAAACAACAAAAACATGGCAAAAATGTAAAGTACAGTACTGTATGCACAACAGTAACTTTTTGTCAAGTTCAAATCACAGGAGTTTCAAGGTGTAGTTTCAAGGCTCTACAACGAGTCTCCTTACTGCAGAGTTGGTACTGATCTTCTGCAGTCTGAACTGTGATGAATCACATCACTATATCACCTCTTTTAATATAGCCTGTACAGTATATCATGCCCGCTACTGAAATGACACTCTCACTGCACACTTTGCTGCTATTTTTTATACTCATTCTGTTTGTAAACTACCTCATACCACTTAGTGCAATACCTGTTCTCATGTAAATACACCAGATCTGTCTTATATTATATGTAAATATGGAAACAGATGTACTTCTATGTCTACAGTCTTATACTTTATTCTAACTTCTGTGTATTTTTTTAATTCTGCCTAATTTATGTCTATTTTTTACTTTTGCCTAATATATGTAAGTTTATGTGCTACTGTAACACTGCAATTTCAATAAAGTTCGATCTATCTATCTATCTATCTATCTATCTAGAGGGTTTACCCAGTTTGTTCTAGACTTATGACTCCTGCAGCACAGACTTTGTAACAGATGCCCTTATACACACACACAAACACAAAATACCCAAATTAGACCCTTGCATAAGGTAATTCCCTTTGCTAACATTCACAAAACACACACCCACGCACACACATTCAAGTCCCAAAAGCACAGATATCCTTCACACTCACACACAAAACCACAGTAATGATCTCAGAAGCATCACACGTTGTCATACCAGCACACACACACACGCTGTCCCTCTGAGCGGTGTATTTAATTTGTGCCGGGGTGTGTGTGACCTGACAGATCCTGAACGAGAGGGCCACTAAGGAGCTGGAGCAGCTGCAAGTGCGCAACACCAAACTCCAGCAGGAGAATGAGCAGAACACTCTTACCCTGGAGCAGCTCTCCTTGGAGAATAACCAGCGAACCTCAGACCTGAAGGTACACACATATATACACCATACATCACATACATACATACGTGCACTGGCCACTGACACCTACTTTGTATCTACATTCATTGTTTATTTTATCAGGTCCACTTACCATATAGGTGCACTTTGTAGTTTTCACTATGTAGTAGACCACCTTTCTTTCATTTAATTTCCAGTCAAAACAGCCTTTAAGACAGTTATTACATTTTCAGTAGATATTTCTGAGGAAATCAGAAATAAGATAACCTGTGTGCATAAGGAATGGGAAAGTTAAAGAAAAATAAGTGAAAAAACAGGAGTTTTCAAACTGGATTTCAGAAAATCAGGTAAACTTACAGAGAAAATATGACTCCTATCAGCTATGCAAGACCTAGTAGACCACCAAAATTGTCACCATCAGATGTACAGTACTGAAAGGTTTCCTATTTGAGAGAGAGGAGAAAATCAAGCTCATTTACAAATCAAACAAAGAAGATTCTGGTGTTCTCAGAACAATGGACTGATCACCCCAGTCCAGACCTCAACATCACTGATTGTGTTTGCCATTACTAATTGTGAGAAGTAGGAAAGGCAACCAACTTCTAAGACTGAACATTGGAGGTTTGGAAAAACATCCCAGCAGATATTTTCAAAAAACTGAAATTAGACAGTATTTGTACTCTGCTTTTTTGTCTTACACTGAAAAATGAATAGCATATACTCAATGGCCGCTTTGACCGGAAATTAAACTGTGTAAATGTTTTTCCAGCATAAGCAGACACATGTCTCTTATGCACATCAACACACATACATACACAACACAGACATAGACACATTTATGTCTACACACACCTTTACTAGCAGAGACTTAACATCTTCAGAAGACATATACTGGCAGCTTTCAGTGGACACAAACACATTCTACAAACTTGGTGAGTTCCTCTCAGTAATTCAGCTTTGGCAAGCGGCAGATTGAACACATTGGCAGAGCCTTACATAAGAAGAGCGGTGGGAAATGAAGACTTGCTGTCATCACCGTCCCCTCGGTGAGTCTCACGTGGATCTTACACATTGCTCACTTTTATGCTCAGAAACCAACAAACATGGGATTTCACCAAACATATGTTTTTACAGAGCTTCAGAAGCAATCACAGTATCTGATAATCCAGATAAAGCCTAAGCAGAGACAGTATACACTTTATTTTAATATGCTTTTTCGCTTCTTAAATATACTACAACTCATTACTTCAGTGGACGTAGAGGAGTCTTGCTGTAAAACACGAACATGTCTTCTTTTAGACTTGTTATTTTGAAGTTATTATGTGATGAAAGGTTTTGCACTGGTTGCATGCATTTGTACTGGTTATCCTAGCTAAACAAACAAAACATCCCCAAAACTAGACTAGAGCTATTGTTTTAATGTAAAACAACTAAATATAGCAGATACTGTAAATCGGTATTCACTGTGAGTTACATTCATTCTCGGATGGTAAGAATCACAGGCTTTTCTGCACTGGGAGCTTTTTCTGCAAAATATTTCACAAAGAGACGCTCCTCTAAGGATTTCTGTTTATTTGAGAATGTTTGTCAGGTTTTATGATTGCTTCAGTAGTCAGTAGTTTTGATTGGCAAACAAATGAACAACACCTGTCTGTCAATTCATCTTTAAACTTTTCATTTTTTACGTACTTTGAAAAGACCAGCTGCTCTTTATGTTAACATTTCATGATGAATGGGCCAAAAGAAAATTATTTGGAAGTATTTCAAAGTTAAGAAGGCTTTTTTCAGCAGTGCTGCTGGAGTTTTTAAACACCGTGTCCACTCACTGTCCACTCTATTAGACACTCCTACCTTGTCAGTCCACCTTGTAGATGTAAAGTCAGAGATGAAAGCTCATCTGCTGCTGCACAGTTTGTGTTAGTCATCCTCTAGTCCTTCCTCAGTGGTCACAGGACGCTGTTGGCTGGATATTTTTGGTTGGTGGACAATTCTTAGTCCACCAGTGACACTGAGTTGTTTAAAAACTCCAGCAGCACTGCTGTGTCTGATCCACTCAGACCAGCACAACACACACTAACACACCACCACCACATCAGTGTTACTGCAGAGCTGAGAATGATCCACCTCCCAAATAGTACCTGCTCTGTGAGGGTCCATGGGGGTCCTGACCACTGAAGAACAGTGTAAAAGGGGGCTAACAAAGTATGTAGAGCAACAGATGGGCTACAGTCTGTAATTGTAGAACTACAAATTGCTCCTATATGGTAAGTGGAGCTGATAAAATGGACAATGAGCGTAGAAATAAGGAGGTGGTCATAATGTTATGCCTGACCGGTGTATATATACATACATACATACATAAATATATTATTTTGGAAAAGACCCATCAAGGAGCAACAAAGCCACTGAAGGGTGATGTTAAAGCTGCAGCTTATAAAGACATTTTAAACAATTATATGCTTCCAACTTTGTGGCAACAGTTTGGGGAAGACCCTTTCCTGTTCTAGCACGACTGTGCCTCTGCGCACAAAGCGAGGTCAATTAAGACATGGTTTAAAGAGTTTGTTGTGGAGGAACTCCAGTGGTCTGCACAGAGCCCTGACCTCAACCCCACTGAACACCTTTGGGTGGGATATACTGGAACACTGATTGCGAGCCAGACCTTCTCATCCAACATTACTGCTTGACCTTACAAATGCTCTTTTGACTGAATGGGCACAAATTCCCACAGACACACTCCAAAACCTTGTGAAAAGCCTTTCCAGAAGAGTGGAGGCTGTTATAGTCACAAAGGGGTGGCCAACGTCATATTAATGCCCATTGTTTTGGAATGGGATGTCCAACAAGCTCATGGTGTCCACATAGTTTTGGCCATATAGAGTATTTTTTTTGTTGTTGCTAGTAAATTCTAGTCATGTGACTGTAACTCCAACACCTGTTGACTCACTGTGACCTACATTGTAACAGCTAGCACTGAATAAATGACTTGAAGATAGAAAATTTCAAAATACCTAAATATGGAATAAACTAATACACATCTTAATGTGAAATGTAGTGAATAACTTGTTATTCCCAATGCAGTTCCTAAATACTGCTAAAACGTAGCATGCGTACAATAAGATAAACATGTACTCTACATGGTTTGTAAGCATCACTAACCTTGTAAAAATAAACATCCGTTTTTTATTTTTCAAAATAAACATCCACTTTTCATTATTTTTCTAAAAGATTATGGAGAGAGATGTGTTAATTAATATAGAACAAAAGGGTTTGATTAAATGTCTACAGCAATAGTGTATAACTGATTGTTCCTTAGTTTAGCTCTTGGTGATTCTCCAGGAGCTAAACTAATGAACAATTATAGAGTTTTATTGCAGCTCTAATCAGATCCACCTGAGTCTCCTTGAACTGACTGCTTAAAGAACTGAATCAGGTGTTAAAATAGTGTGTAGAGAATTAAAAATTGCTCAACAGCTGCATTCTATAAGCTAGGCTGCATGTAAAAGGGAACAGTGTGTAGACTCAAAAAAGGCAAAGGTACTATTTGGAACTATATATGGTTCCATATAGAACCATTTCATGCTGAGATTGATGGAGAAAATGTTTTATATGGTTCTTTACAGAAGCTTTCTGAAAGTGGTTCTATATAGCACCAAAAAGGGTTCTTTTGAAGACGCATATAGAACCATATACAACACATTCTCCATCAATCTGAAGAACAATTTCATCATGCAGAGAACCTTTTAAGCTTGAAATAGAGCCATTATAACAATCCAAATAGAAACACTGCCTTTACCAAAGAACCTTTGAAGAACTGTTTTAAGAGATTTAAGAGATCTGTTTTAAGTGTGTACCAAGACTGCTTTGCCGCATCATCAGAAAGGTGCGAAATTTGATGAAGAACATAGTTCTCAAGTGATTCATAGTAATCTGACAAGCAAAGCAGTAATTTGTTTGTAATTAAATGCTATCATACAAACCAAACACTGTTCACCTCATTGAAATCAGCTGCATTTCACTCCTGCATTCCATGTACGCCTGTTTAAAGGGATGGTTCCATTGATCGGAACAGCCTCCGATGACTAGCATTCTAGAAGTGCAGCCCACATAAACTGCAGCCCATCTCTGTGTTATGTCCAAAGACAGTGAAGTCGTTTAATACATAAAGTGCATCCCTGCAAACCTACACTGTCAGTTAAAAGGGTTCAGTGCAGGTACATTTTTGTCAAGGTACAAACGGTGTAAATTTCCCCTTAAAGGGACAACAATGGTCTTGAGGTCCACTTGTGTACCTTAATTAAGTATGAATACACAATTAAAATAAGTAACATTATCGAGTCAGGAGAAAAAATACATGCTAAAATATGGTGCGTGTGTGCTGCTGGAAGTTTCCCTGTAAAGCCTAAATAATCCTTTAAAAGTGAGAGGTGTCAGGTCAGATTTCATTGGAGGTTTACAGTCCACGTCATGCATCATGTATTAATGTCATATACACAGAGTCAAAATGAAGGTCTAGTTCGATGTTATGTCCTTAAAAGATGTCGCTCACCATGTTTTGACTGAGTTCTCAATCATCAGATTCATCCATTTGGGGAAGAAGAGAGCTACAAAACTGATGCTACAAAACATTTTGCATGTTGTGTGCAATTACAAATTTCCACCAGGGGTCTCCAAATCCCCAAATCCTACATTGTGTAGCTTTAATGTTTTAAAATAGAAAAATAAAATCAAAATACTGGAGTCAAGACAGGGTGTATGAAGGTAGACCACCCCCTTGATTTGAGAGGTACCACCCCAGTTACAATTTGTTACTTTTTTTTGAGAGTGGACAAATGTACCTAAACTGAATGTCAGTTGACGGTAGTTGTTAGTTGTTGGTAACTAACTTAAGCCCTATTTGGAATAGATTAGTTCATCAGGGGGACGTCTGTAAAACAGTTTTTTCATGTCTTTCAGTGATGAAGTTCACACATCCGGACGTCAGTAACACTACCACAGAAGAAGTGAAATTTTAGTGGGTTGTATTTAACTATCAGAATTTAATATTAGACCTTTAAGATATGGACAGTGGCACAACTGGTCATTATTTCTAGAAATTTAAATAAAAAAAAACTAAAAAAGCTGATGGTATTGTGTATATGTAAATACAAAGCAATGCTTTATACCTGTAGCTGACCTCATAATGGGACCTTAATAAGCCTGAGGAATCTCGCTTTTCTTCCTGATTGTATTTTCTTACTCGTCCTAATAATCTTCTCTCAGGTAGCTGGAAGTTTTACCACCCAGACCAAAGAGATGGCCATTTTTTATTTTGCTGTTCAGAAAGTGTTTAATGGTCTATGATACATGAACTAGGAGAACAGATATGGCAATTAGCAGCGGTCAAAAATATTTTTTTTCCAACGTGAGGCGACATCTGTCTGGAAAAATATGTAGAGGTGTATGTGGCCTTGACTAAAATGATCAGAGCAGCACTGAGTTTGGTTTAAAACAGTAGGTAGTTAGTTCAGCCTGTAAATTTCTCAGGGGAGGAGGAAGAAAAACCCAGACATGGTCGATCGGGATGGAAATAAAATCACAGAGTAGAGCCTGCAAAAGAGGAAATCACACCAGAAACTTGTGTAAATTTGATCCCATCTGGACGAGACTAAAATTGTAAATGAACTGTATTTTTGAAACTTTTGAAAAAAGTTCTGCTACTTGCTTCTGCACTTTTGGCCTGTAGTAAGCGTTGTACTCCTGTCCTCTGCTGCTGCTGGCTGCAGTGCAGTAGATTACATCTGTTGGTGGGCCGTTAGCTTTACAGCAGATTTAAAAAGAGTGAGCTCAAGCCTACACTTTTATTGTTAGCTGTTCTGTCGAAGGATTGATGTCCAGGATGATCTGGTGTGCTGTCGCTGGAAGCGTTGTTGACACACATACACTCCCACACAATTCAGGGACTCCACAGATAAAGGCTTTGTAGAGTTCATGTTCTGCAGTCAGCTCAAAGAGACTCTGTCCATAGTGACTTAACATTTTATGTCCAGCGCTCTGAATTATTCCTGAGAGAGAGAGAGAGAGAGAGAGAGAGATCACAAGAGACAGAGACTTTAAGAGGAGATTGAGTTGAACTGCCATCCACATTAGCCTTTGATGTCTTCCCCTCCAACACACACACGCACACAAATGTGATTTTGAAAATGTGACGTGACCTCCACAATAGAGGGAGAGATCGCAGCTCTGAAATGACACAAACAGTCACTTCCCTTTGAAAAAGATCCTCAGATGCTTAATTCATATAATGTCTTTCTTGGATCCTCTGTGTTTAATCCTATTTGGGAGACAAAATTTAGTATTTTTATTAAAAAAACTGAGTTTCCTTGCTTTTTCATGTACTATGCAAACACTGCTAGACAAGTTCTAAAACTTACCATTCACTCCCCAGTCTGTATATCGTCACTGTCCAAAGAAAACCATGTATCTTCATTATTGTCAATTTTTATTTCTCTACATCATTTTAACACACCAGCTGTCCTTTACGTTGTGGGAAAATTTCATGATGAATGGACCAATAGAAATGCTCTAAAATCACTTGGAATAAAATCTCTTTACATTAACTTACACTGGAAGGTCAGAGTGTTTTTCCCTTTTCCTGTAAAGTTACTGTTTTGGAGATGCTTGTTTTTCTTTGGACAGCGACAATATGGAAACTAAGCTGCAAGAGCAACCTGTTTAGAATCCATCATGTCGCAACCGTGGACACATTTACATATAACCGACAATTCAACCCACAAAACTAAGCTGCAAGAAACAGCAACAGCTATCTAGGCTTAATGGCAAAGACTGTTTTGAAATCATCATGGCTGTGATGAACACATTTACATATGATCAAACTTTCAGCCTATGAAACTAAGCTGTAAAATCAGCATCAACTATTGAAACTAATTTGAAACACTGCTTAATTTCATTATGGTTGTGATGTCACAAACATGAGCACATTTACATATATAGCCAACCATTCTACCTGTGCTGCAAAAGCAACAAAGACTATTAAAACTAAGCTGCAAAAACAGTTTTGAATTCATTGCAATGGTAATGTCACAAACTTGAGCACATTTACGTCTTGCCAATTATTCAACTTCAATCATTCTTCGATATTAAGCTTTGAAAACAGGCTGTTTTGAATTCATCATGGTTGTGATGTCACAAAATTGCATAAGATGTTCATTTAGCCTGCAGTGGTTCAGAGGTTAGAACAACATAGACGGCCTTACATACATCAAAGCAGAGATCATTTATATATATATCAGTCTTTTGTAACAAAAGCAGACTGTTTAATTCTAAGGGATAAAGAGAGGTTAGAAAATGGTCATGTGAAAATGAATTCAGACTTTATTTTGTATAAGGTTAAAGGTGGACATAAAATACAAGGCTAGTGTAAAATATATGGGCCCTTGAATGATTAATGGCGTCAAACCTAGAAGGTGCCACAAGGGGTCACTGTACAAACACGTTCAGGAACATTGCACAGCTCCTTCACAGAAGTTTGCAGATAGAGCGACTTCCTCTATATGTAAATCTAATGCAATTATGGACTTTTCATATTTAAGCTGTCTTCGGCGCTGACAACTGTGGGGTAATTAGAAGGCATTCAGAGAAAGAGCTGTATGGAAGGAATGAAGAGGGGGGGGGATCATGCGCTGCCATTCAGAGTTATATATCATTGTCAGGTGATAAAGAAGGGAACTTTAGTGCCTCCTCAATTTGGCCTTAAGTGGATGTTTAGATTACCTGTTGGGTTTGGAAAAAGTGACACAGAGGCAGCGGCACCAGTCGCAGTTCCTTCCAGGAGATGTAAAGCACTGCGTTGCTGCTGGGCTGAATCCTCCAGGGCACCACGCACATACACACACGCACACACACCCACACACACACACACACACACTCAGACTCCTTGGAGAGTCTTTATCAGTGTGATAAGGAAAATTGGAACAGCGGAGCAACAGGGGAACACTAGGCCTTAATGGAGACACACTGACATGCACGCACACACATAACCTAATCCTGCCCTGCCACACACACGCACACACACACACACACACACACACTGATCTGATCTGTGTACTATATGCATGCACAAGCCTAAACACGCAGCTAATATTACACGTACAAGGAGAAAAGCAACATGTCTTCCCCCTTTTACATATTTATTTGAAGAAAGTTGGCAAAAAATGGCAAAAACATTGGAAATGCAGCTGATTACAAGTTTACAAGCTGTAGTGTACAGCCAATTACTGCAGAAAGCATTTTTTCTGTACTTATAAACAGATATAAAACTTGTTTACTCAAAAAAACTCTTATTAGAAGCCAATGGGAAGCTGCTTCAGTTCTTTTACTAACATAGCAGGGAAATGTTATAAATTAATGTCCATGGTAATCAGTCACATGCTACAGCAATGGCAGATCAGTTTGGAAAAATGCTGGAGTATTCTTTTAGTGGTTCTTAAACGATTAGCCATATCTAAAAAATAGCACACTATATGGACATCCCTCTTAATTATTGCATTTCAGCTACACCCATTGCTAACAGGTGTATAGAATGCACATAGCTGTGCATTCTCCATAGACAAACACTGGCAGTAGAATGAGTTGTACTGAAGAACACAATGACTTAAATGTGGCGCTGTCATAGGATGCCACCTTTGCTACAAGCCAGTTTGTGTAATTTCTGCTCTGCTAGATTTGCCCCAGTCAACTGTAAGTGGTATTATTGTGAAATGGAAGCATCTAGGAGCAACACTAGCTCAGACATAAAGGGGTAGACCATGCAAACTCAAGCGCATAGTACAGGTACTGCCTCTGGAAACAACATGAAGAACTGTGTGAAGAAATAGGTCACTATGAGTTCACTATGCGCAATGCCAAGTGTTAGCTGGAGTGGTGTAAAGTGCATTGTGATTGGGCTCTGGAGCACTAAAAACCTGTTCTCTGGAGTGATGAATCATGCTTTGCAGTCTGGCAGTCTGAATGATGTATTTGGGTTTGGCAGATGCCAGGAAAACGCTACCATAGTGCATAGTGCTAAGAGTAAAGTTTGGTGGAGGAGGAATAAAATGGGCTGGGGCTCTTTTTTAGGGTTTGGGCTCAGCCCCTTAGTTCCAGTGAAGTGAGTAAGTAATGCTAATGCTACTGCGTTCAGAGACATTTAGATCTCAGACCTTTTAGGGTGTGTAACCAGTGGCATACGACTGTATGTATGAAACGCATTTCCCTTTGTAGAGGAGAGTTTTTTTTTTGCTAAATAATTTTGAAAGTATATAATACTTTGTTATACAAACACCTTCAACTTACCCCTTAGGTAGGATTAATTGTAACAGACTGCAGGGATAGTTGTGTAACAGTTGTATGTACATTATTTAGACCACAAAGTGGAAGAGCTATGGGGGATATGGATGTTTACCTTGGGTGGCTTAGTTGTAACCAGTATGGTGGCAGTACTTTAGCCTGTCTGGCTCTCATTGTGAGTTGTTTATATGCGTTAAAACTGTGCTATATTACAACCACCAAGAAGGGTATTACAATAATACAGGTGTGAGCTCAACAAAGATCTGTTCCATTGCTGTGAAAATTCACAGATGATGTTGCTATGAGAATATAAGATCACCATAAGCATGTTTTACCTGGACCTGTTTTAGAAAAAGTTCATGTTACATTTTACCCTGCCTTACTTTGTGCCCTGCTCCTCTCCCCTGCATGGCTTCATAACCTGTGCATTTATGTGCATGTTTCAGTTTCATACACAGCGCATGATATTTTGAGCAGAATGTGTCATATTTCAGCAGAATGTCTTGTGCCAAAGGCTCAGGAAATCCGACACTAAATGTCTCTGGTATGTCTGTGTTACAGATGAAGGAGGAGGAGGTGAATCAGATGAAGCAGCAGATCGCTAAGCTCAATAAGATGAGGGAGGCCACCCAGAGGAAGCTGCGTCTGCTGGAGGACCAGAAACTGGAGGTGGAGCAGCAGAGAGAAACGCTGAAGAACCAGATCACTGGCCTGGAGAAAGGCAAGACATAACACATATACCCACACCTAAACACACTCTCAGGATCCTGGATTCCTGCTGCTTTTTTCTTCTTCTAATTCTTTTAGATAGAGCGTAGGAGCATAAGTCTGACTGTAGCCTCATCTCAGAATCTCTCTCTCTCTCTCTCTCTCTCTCTCTCTCTCTCTCTCTTTCTCTTTCTCTGTCTCTGCCTGGTTTTCTGTCTTTTCTTTCATTTTTTCAATTTAGTTCAGTTCCATTCAGAACAGCTTTATAGGCTTGACTGAATCAGTTACAGTATTGCCCAAGCAAAGAAAGTACGGCTTTTGAGTTTAACTCTTTGGAGTTGAACAAACTCAATAAAAGCTGTACTTACTAGCATTATCACAATGATGCTAATAGTTAAGGATGGGCGTCATCCAAATATACAGATATCAGCACTAATTCAGTCTTTAATTACTTAATTGCAGGGGTGAACCATGACTGTTAGAGCCAGGCCTTTAGTCCAAGCCATAAATATCAAATATACAGTCATATTTAAAATGTCAAATTACGTTTTGATGGAAAATAAATTAACACATCCTCTACAGAGAACACACTTAAATATGCCATTTTGATGTAATTTGTAGTGCACAATGTCTATTTATTTGCTGAGTTTAACATTTTATATAACATGTGCCATAACATTTGCACTTGGAAAAGGTTCTTTAAGGGTTCTTTAGTAAAAGGTTTGGTTCTGTATAAAACCAAGAGTTCTATACAGAAACATTTCATGCTTAATTGGTTGTTTGCATGGTGAAATGGTTCTTCACATTGCTAGAGAATTTTTGAAAATGGTTCTATATAGCACTAAAAGGCGTTCTTCTATTGTTACAAGCTCGATATTATAACAATAGTCAAGCCCTTTTTGGTGCTATGTAGAAAAAGCTTCTATAAAGAACAAAAGCATGAAATGGTTCTATATAGAACTCATGGTTCTAAATAGGACTATTCCCTTTACTAAAGAAGCCTTGAAGAAACATCAGTATATTAGTAGTTAATCTAATGTGGAAGACCTTAGCCGAACTCTAGTAAATAATAATAATAATAATAATAATAAAAGCAAACAAACAAACAAACAAACAAATAAATCAGTTTCTCATTAATGCATTAATGCATTAATAGAGCCTCCGAAGTTCAGATCCATGTTGCTGAGAAAAAAAAAAGAAACAGCCTCTGTCATCAGTCTGCCACTGAATGTGAATTCAGCACCTCAAAGGGGAATTCCACTGATTTTTCAAAATTGATATAGTCAGAATTTATTAATCCATTAATTGTGTAAATAAATTGTTACAGTATAAACAAACTCATTCAGAGTGGATTGGTATGAAATGCTCCGTTCTAGAGAAACTGACGGAGTCAGGGTTTTTCACAGTGGTGATGATAGGAAGACGAGTGAAGCGTCTAATGCAACTAAAGCCCACATCACAAAAAGTTATTACATGAAATGGTTATGCATACACTTATGCCTTGTGGCTCAGAAATTGTTTTATGATATGAGTTTTTTTATGTTTGAGGAGAAGTATTTGCATGGCTATGTTGGATACCCAAATACCCAATATATTATATAACCAAATACCCAATATATTATCAATTTTGGAGAGTAAATAAAATGGCTAAATCGTGACCCCTGGTTCCTGTTGCCACCACTGTGAAAAAGAAATCAGAGTCTATTTCTCTGTAATGAACAATTTCACATCAAACTACTCTGAATGACTTTGTTTACATCTCAGTGACTGAATTATGCAGAACATTTGAAAAATCAGTGGAAATGCCCTGTAAATAAAAAACAAACATTTGACCACATTTGTAAGCTTTTTTAATCATGAGACAAATGTGCATCTAGCATTTCAATTTCACCCCAAAGTGCACTGGATTCGTGCATTTATCTGGTAATTGTTTAATTGGGACCCTAAAAGGGGTTGGAGTCCACCCACCTCTATGTCTGAAAATCCTATGGGAAACACTGCAATAATGACAATAATAATAATAACAATATTGTGCAAATCAACAGGATATATTTCATGTTTTTGCAAATTGCAAAGGTTATGAATGACATTAGAATAAACTAACGTTTTGACATTGCCACTGTTTTTTTTTTAAATGATGTTAAGACTTTTGACAGTGAAAGGTTCCTTTGCTGCTTTAAAATGTTCACAGTGAAGAAGAAAGTGCACCTCTGTCTTAACCTCACCTGTCAGACACAAGCAGCACATTTTCTTTCATCTTTTGCTAAGCAGGACTGTTTTCTTCTGTCAGTGGCTACGCTGTGGTCTCTGAGACTGGGTTTGGATAGGAAATGTTGCTGCCTTTATAGCCCTGACAGAAGAACCTTACAGTTCCTCCTATTTTATGCCTGTAAGTTTTAGTTTTACAATCCCAATGTTCTTACTTTTTTAAAAAAGATTTATTTGTATATTAACATGTATATATTCACATATGCAAATTAATATGGTTTGTTTGTATATTAGTAAGCAAACCAGCGGTGCTCTGATACTCCTGTTACACCATTAGAAGGTCTATAGTCTCAGCCTATCAATATCTAAACTAGAGAGCTAAACTGGCCACAACTATCAAGACTAATAGCTAAACTGGCCACAACTATCAGGACTATTCTCACTCAGCTTACTAAGGGTACTTATCTCAGGTTTTGGTCCTTCATTGTGTAGATTCTGTGCTGCTTTAACATGCAGTACTTCCGAGGGTTTGTCTTTAAAATCAATATAAACAGCAAAAATCAAAACACAGCAAATAACTGTGGGCAAGACATGATTTTATTCTTCAGGATTTGATTGGATTGCAAAAAAAGCAGGCATTCAAGAAACGAACATGGAGTTGGACACTGACAGTCAACAGAATCTGTCTGTTTTACAGAAGAGCCGAAGGAAAAGACGTTTTTTCTCAAAAGCTGAAGTATTACAGGATTTCGACTATGCATTGTAGTTTCAGAAATATGTGTATGTATGATGTAGCTTACGTGAAGCACTGGTTAGCAGGCTGTCCTTTTAACATTTTAAACTTTGCTTTTGTTATCCCTACGCTTTCATGGCAAAAACAAAAGGAAAAAGACACTAGGAAAAAAGTAGTCATATTATCGTTAAAATAAATTCATGTACGAGTGTAACCAACAAATGTGTGTGGGCAAGAGATGGGCTATGTGTGTGTGTGTCTATGCAGGTTGCTCTGTCAGCTGACCTGCCTCACAGCAACTTTAGAAAACAGTCCCACACTCATTTCAACATGAAAATAGGTTTGCTTAAATAAACTGAAAAACTCATGAATTACTATTTTACAACCAAGTGAGGAGAAGATAGGAAGTGGTCTGCTGACACACATTTACTTTCCTAAAAATTAAAAAGCAGCCACACTCTTAAATCTGTGCAAAAATCTTTTGTACACACTTACTTTCCTGCCCGGACTGGAGGTGTTGATGGGTGTTCTGGCTTGGTGATTGGTCAGGGTGATGAGAGGGGAGGGAAAACATGCTAAGATAATATTGGTTAGTGTAATTTTTTCCCTGTTGCTGGAACACAGTGACACAACCAAATACCAGAATTTTGTCTTGTGAATGGATTGTGCTTAATGTGACCAAGGACATGAACTAACAGGGCAAAGAATTAATCTTGATTCTAAGTTGAGCACGTCAAGTCGATCAGGCGGAGCCAGTGAAAACTCCACCCACACCACTACATTGGTAACGTCCAACCACAATTTTTTCTCTCTGGAAAACTATTTCCATGTCTGAAAGAATGAATTTTGCAGATTTACAGCTTAAATTTACAAATACCATTGACTGAATAATTCATGAAAGTGTTCTACAAAAGTGTTTATTGACAGAATTCAGCAGCTCCTCAAAGTCTTCTTTTTATTGTGTTTCAAGTGAGCAGCTTTTTTCTCTTTTCTAAGTACAAGGAAACATGCACTGCTTCTTTTGGTTTGGGGTTCCAAATAGCTTTGTTTAATTTCTACCAACAAATAAGAAATAATGTGTCTTTGCAGAGAACATGTTTGCAAATTGCTTTCCTCTACCTTTGTAAAATAAATGAAAACGTGTTTGAGAAACTCTCTCTTTTTGGACACACTGTGAGCAATTGCAGCCATGCTAGCACTGAAAATAAGAATCTTTTCAATGACGCTAAATCAGTTTTGGTAAGTGGGAATAAGTGGTCCATTATAATAACCCTCACCAGTCTTTTGCACTTGAACCCATAAATGCATAGACAATTATGCAAAAGCACAAAGTAACAGTGACTGCCACTTTGATCTTACTCTAGATGTTAAAGGCTCATTGTGCATACACTATAAATCACAACAGTCACTTTTTAATGCCAAAATAGGGCTGTGGTGGTGCACAGCGTAAGCGGCTCTGCCCCTAAATTGAAAACTCTATAATCTTGAAGTGCATGCAGACATTGCAGGACCTGTTTTTTGACAACAGAAACTGGCATAATTGTGACCCAAGTGCATTAGTTAGTGCATTGTAAAAAACAGTGTTCACTTCTATCAGTGTCTACTTAAACATATTACGGCAACAGTTTGCTTGAACATTGCGTTTAAGTAAAAGTAATGGGACTCAACTCTACAGGTTAAAGCCTGAACATCATTCTGTTCAATCAAATCGGTCATCACTGAGGGTCCACGAATTTACTGGCGAAAGTCCCCCAAAGCAACAAAATATTATTACACCACAGTTACTCTCAACCTTGCATTGCAAATGGCTGTGAAGCATTCATGAGTGCCAATAGAGCCAATCAGAATGCTTGTTAACATAAAAGTTGACTCTCTGGGTGCTTTGTCCAGTCAGCGTAAAAGCAGCTCAATGTATGGTACAATTTACAATAAATACCAACATAACAGACTAAACATTGGCAATAATAGTAAAATATTGTTGTGTTTGAGGCTGTAATGTCAAATGTACCCAAGTATGTAATGGATATGCATAAAATATGCAATTTTACTTACCTTTTTCCCTTTTTCTAGCT